CTTCATTTTTTACCTGAAACACCATCACTTATATGTTTATGTAGGCTTTAGCAGCTACCAACAAGGACTCTGATAATCCCTGAAGCCAGGGATTCCAGGGCATCCTGAAACATGACAATGGCTACATGTGACACTGGCCAAAGTGAAATTGGCATGTGCCTAGGTGCAGGAATCAATTTTTTAGAAGAGTTTTTTTAATAAAGTCAAGACAATCCTCACATAGGCTTGCAAGATTTAGTTTTTAAAAATTACAAAATGCCACTCCAAGAAATATTCTGCACATACTGAATGTTTGTTCAAAATACAACTGGACCTATGCATACTGTATTTTTCCATATTTTTATTAGTGCATATTGGTTATAGAGATTAGTGGATTGCATTTTGACAGAGTGATACATGCATATTAAATATTTCTATAGTTTTTACCCCTTCCACTACACTCCACTCTCTGACATTCCCCCTAGCAAGGCATGTATGTTCATCACATCCATCTTCCCTTTACCCTGTACCTCCAGAAAGTATACAGATATCTGCATTTCATTTGGATTCATTGACTGAAAGTTGGATCAAACTAGTATAACTAAATAATGATAGTACTTGAAGGTGATTATCCAGATTTTCTCTCACCACATTAATGAATAAATTAAACATATGTTTAAAGGATCCATGATAGAATGTGGAAAAACTCCCTGATAGTCATGGTTTTGGCCTCTCTCAGGTAATTCATCTTTCCATGGTGACCGCTGGGAAGTCAGACAGGTAAGAAATTGAGGCTGCTTATCGTCTGCCCCAGGGGACCATGTGTGCAGAGACAGGGAGGTAAGGCAGGGGCAGCCAGAGAGCAGGGCCCAGGCCACTTGCAGGATGGTCTCACAGGACCTCATGTGCCGCTTCCTGGAGCCAGGAAGGGAAAGGTCCCTCCTGGGACCAAGGCTCATGATTTGAAAGTGAAGGAGGAGAATATTGCTGTCACAGTAGAGTATGACAAAACAAAATATCAAAAACATTTAAACAAAAATGCCAAAATTAATGTCCAAAGGAACAATCACAATGTTAAATAGTAAGCTAACCACACCAGAGTATGGAAGCTATAGCAGTGGAAAGAGGCCGATACTGGTGCTAGAGGAGAAAGATCCGTGGGACACAGTGAACAATCAGAAGGATCCACAAGTGTATGAGACTTTAACATAGGATGAAGCTGTATGTTCAGGGCAGCCAGGCAATGATTAAGTATTCAGATAAATTGCTCTCTGGTAATTGGTTTGCCATATGGGAACTAACACTCTTAAATCAACATCTCACCACTTACAAATAGCATGTAGGGATGATAAAACTGAAAGCACAAAGCATTCAAATTTGTCATTCATAAATTGCATACAAATTACAGGTGAGACAGACCATCCAAAACAGGGGCTGTAAGGAAAAACTGGTAGATTTTATGAGAAAAACATGCAAATGTCCAGTCACTAAGGTGTACAGAAATAGATAATGAGGAAATGTCTTTTCTACACAGTGCCTGTATGGCTAATATCTCCAAAATGGTGTCTGAGACCCCTCACAAACTAATAAAATGATCATTCCAATAGAAAAATGGGCAAGGAATCCAAGGGGGATATTTGTTCAACAAGAAATATACATGACCATCACATTTGTGAAATTATATTGCACCTCATTATAGATAAGACAATGCAAGTTGAATTAACAAATCTCATTTTAAGCTCACAGTGCTGGGTTAGAATCTCTACCACTTCGTGGTAACCACGGCAAAGTCAGTTCACCCATCAACTTCAGTGTCTCATCTGTTAAACTCAGTGGTACTTGAACCCTCAGGTAGTATTTGTAAAGATTAAATGAGATAAAATACCTAGTGCTCAACAGAGTAACTCAACACAGTAACTCAACACAGTAACTACCAGAGAAAGAAAACCGACATTTATCATTCTTTACCATTATTTCTACTACTACTACAGTAATTGTTATATACAAATTTCAGATAGATCGATGACACACACCCTAAATAATAAATGAATACAAACATTAAGAGAATTAATTGTATGAATTTCTGTATTTGTAATTTTGAGATGTGTGCATTATTTTAATTAAAGCATTAAATCTAGTTGTCAGAAAATAAAAGAATGATTAAAATTTATAAAAATGAATGCCTCAGATCCAAAATATAAACATCAAATTTAAACACATACATTTTCCTTATGCATGGCAGAAAGATTTATCACTATTAAATTGAATACCATGTTTTGAAAAAAATGAAGCAAAGTAAAAATATTAAATATAAGTAATTAAAATTTTGTTAGAGTGAGGAATAATAAAGAATACTGTAGAATGGAGTCTAAAAGTCTCTAAAAGCATCTTGTCTTATAATTTTGACTTTGGATATATGTAGAGGTTTTCATTGTATAAACAAATACAAATTTAAAAAGAAGATCGGTTTCAAAAATTTAAAAATAAAAACTGAAAAAAAAGCTACCTATTCATCAAAGGTAGCATAGAATATAAATACTTCAAAGCATTATTTTACTTCTAAACCTGAAAACAAAGGAAAGAAAGACATGAAAGAAAAAGAAAGGAAAGAAAGAGTAAAAATCTTAAATTGTATCTGATGAGCTGAGTATCATTAGTATTTAGGTATTGTTTATATTTATCTTTTGGCTGATACTGCTAGAAGCCAAGATTTTAATGCAAGATAAAAAGCAAATACACAATCTAAAAATTTCAGTAAAATCCTTCAGATCTATACTTTAAGTGTTTCTCTTTTAAAATTTATTTTTAGGCTATCTACCAGAAAATCTAGAATGCAACAATAATCTAGACATGACGAGCACCTCTAGCATCTAGACTGAGGTATCTGAACCCCACTTCTCCCTAAAATGCTAGGGCTGAGTTTAGCAATGGTTGACAGGGAGAATGAGGCATGGTACAAGGCGATCCCAGAACATCTTGTCTACCTGAAACTAATCCAGCAGTCTGGGTCCACTGAGGCCACTTCAGCAACACCAAAGTCAGCTGCACTGGCTCTCACTGGACCTGGATGGGACATGGTAAGCAACACAGGGACTCGTACAAAAATTTTAAGTATAAATATTTAAACATAAAACTGAAAGATAAAAGTACCCCAGGAGTCAAGGGCTTCAAAGGTGTCATCTCATTCTGAACATAGAGATAAGATTACTAATCAAACATTTACCTTACTGATTTTGTACATACTGTATTTCAGGTTGCCTGGTGCTTAAGAAGGAAAATTGTTTATGGAACAATTATGACCAGTAAATGTAGGAGAAACATTAAAATTAGGAAACTACAAACTCTTTCTGCCTCTGTGAAGCATTGCATTCCAGGCCCCTCACACATGAGCTCTAGTTCCCTTTCCACTATTCTGTTTCTCTGCCCATCCACTGCTTTCTCTGTCACTTTATAGCCCTTTTTCTTTCTATCTCTGTGTCTAGTTTTCCTTTTTCTTTTTACTATTTCCCATTGCTGTTCTTATGTTTCTATTTCTTGTTCTGGATCTCCCTTTCCAACTTTCATTCTCCTTTTCTGGCCCTCTAGCTTCTCACTGCCTCTGTTCATATCTCTTTATGTTTCCACCTTTCAATTTCTGTATTTCTATTCTCTCCTCTCCCCCCCCATTTATTTATTTATTTACTTATTCATTTATTTATTTCTCCCTTGGTCACTGTCCTACCTATTTCACTTCCTGTTTCTCATTTGTCTTTCTGCTTCTCCCCAAGATTATGGGTCACAATGGGTTCTTTAAAGTCTTTATTATTCTGTTATTTACACTCCCATGATCACGGAGGATTGGCATTTCTGTGCTGTCTTTTCCACTGTGGTAGCTACAGAATTTTCTGCTCTTCCATGTCCTGAGACATTTTGGATTCTATCCTCAAAGTTGTCATCTCAGAGATAGTCTCCTTTCTTAGGAGCCACAGTGAGTGCTCACTAAGCACATGGATGAGACCCAAGCTGGAAGTGAGGGCATCCATTTAACCTCCATGGGACACCTTTCCAGTAGGAAGTGGCCACTACTTTTAGGAAGAATCCAAGTCTCACTCAGATATTGGCTCTTTGAACATAGAACAAACAAAATGTTGCATATGATTGTAATGTGCCAATAAGTCATTCTGTGAAAACCTAAAGTGACTATCTCAGCACTGCATACACAGTACTTCCTTTTGGGGTGGAAGCATGGTGGGGTCATTTGTTTTCTCTGCTACCTTTGATGAAGAACCCTCTGATTGACTCCAATCACCCACTGACCTGGATGTTAATGTCCTCTATTAAACCTTCCTTGTGTTCTCTCTGAAGTCACTGCTTCCTGGTAGAGGTACTTCAAGTTATTCACTAGATGGCTTAAAATTACACATTTAGGCTCAGGATTCCACCTCTCTGAGCTCCTGAACTGCATCTCTGTTGCTGACAGCCCTGGCTGCCTATGAAAGCATACAGAGCATGTGCCACTAAGTGAACTGAGAACATGAAACCAAAAAGCACCAGCATCTATACATCAATTACCCAAGAGAAACAGTGAATGTTCTAAGTGATGTTGGGCCACAGACATCCTTCACTGATCCTTCATCCAGCACAGTGTCAGGGCAGTAATGGAAGGACCAGTTCTACGTAGTCTTGGACATTAGATTCCCAAATCCCACAGAAGTTATTGCCCCTCCTGTTTCCCATGCAGGGCGCCTGGCATCCACAGCCAGGAGAGGAAGGTTGATGGCAGTCACACATGTGTGAAGATGGGATATTTTCTTTGTATTCATAAGTTGTGACCTTTAGAAAGTGAGCCAAGTTGGCTGTGGTTTAACGCCCCTCAGTTTCCCTTCTAGCATTTCTTCTCACCACCCCTTCCGCTGCCCCAACCAGTAAGGGCCGGTTTGACTTTGAGCCTCTTCCAAGAATCAACCACATTTGAAAGAACACAGAAATAGAACAGGCCTGAGAAAGTGAAGCCCCACCAACCACACCAGTGCTGCCTGTCACCCACTGTGTCCCCTCCTCCCCAGGCCTCTGCTCTGTGCTGCTGAAGTTCAGGGCAGCCCAGATGGATGGTGAATGAAGGTGCTGAGGGGTTTGAACCCCCAGGGGGCCCTGCCCCAGGCCTGGCCTGTGACATCATCCCTACAGAGCTCTGGGTGATGTGACCACTTCCTGTCTAGGGCCTGTGCATTTGCAGTGCAGAAATAGCTCCACTCTCTGCACAGAGGGCAGGAATTGGTCTAAGGAGGACTGATCAGCTCAGGAGAACCAAGGAGTGGATTTCAGTTACATCTGATGCTTCTTCAGTCTGGGTGGTCTTCTTCTGATACCAATAGGAATCTTTGCTTGGTTTCCACAGGAAGGTGTTTTATAGAAACAGAATCCAGTGTAAAGAAATAAAACTTTCTAATATCAAATAAGACATTGTTTTAATTCTAACATATAAGAGATTTTTATTTAAAAGTATTCATTCAAGAAGTAGAAAATTATACAATTATTTTATCACTCATCTCCCTTACATTGAACATTTTGCTTCATTTGCCTACAGAAACACACGGACACTCCAGAAGCAAGTGTCACACTTGGCAGTGTCATTACTCGATGCTTGGTAGATAACAAAGGACCTGAGCAGATGTTGCAATGAACAATAAATAGATGTTAAACCTATGAAAAGTTGGTCATCTTCCTGCATAACAAGAGAAAAACAAGTTAGTCCACAGAGATACTAAATTAAACTACAAAGTGATTCTGTTTTGGGCTTATCAGATTTGCACAACGAGGAGATTTGAGGACCTGCTCTCTAACATTCATACAGGGTGGTAGAAGGACACAGTAGGGCTCTCTCTTTAAGGAGCAAGACAGCATTGTGCTCCTAGCTACAAGTTGAAAATGACATAAAACTCCTTATTTATTTCAGCATTCTTAGAGCAGCAAATGATAGGGAAATAAACCAAAAATCTTTTACAGGGACCTGGTGAAATGCAGTATTTTATGTTCAGCAGCAAAATACCTTGTAATTTTCTAAATGATGTTAAAAGAGTCCGCGGTTTATAAATATAAAAGAAAGGCAGATAACATATATTGTACGTTATCTTTGTGTAAGACGGGGAGATGGGAATATACACACACATGCTCCACTTTTACAGACATGACAATTACAGTGTTTTGAGTTTTGTGCCATGTGAATGTGTCATCAAACAATTTTAGTAATATGTTGATTATATTATATTTCAACACAATGTCCTGATTATTTTCCATTTCTTTGAAAATTTTACATTTTGGGAAAGTGTACATGAACCTACCTTATGACATCCTTTATTTTATTGTTTTCTTGTAATTTCACCCTTTTTATTCCTAATTGCATGGATTTAGGCCTTTTCTTTCTTTTTTTGATAAGGTTGGCTAAGGGTCTGTCAATTTTGTTGATTCTTTTGAGGAATCAACTCTTTGCTTCATTGACTTTTTTTATCTCTCTCTTAGTCTCCATTGCATTGATTTCAGCTCTGATCATCTTCACAATTTCCTCTCTTGTATGAGCTTTGGGTTTCTCTTGCTCTTCTTTTTCTAGAAGCTTGAGATTCAGTGTTAAGTTGTTTATTTGAGCTCATTCTGTTTTCCTGATATGGGTATTCACTGCTATGAATTTCCCTCCTAAGATTGCTTTCATTGTGTCCCATAAATTCTGATATGTTGTACTGGTATTGTCATTTAATTGTAGAAACTGTCTGATTTCTTCTTTAATTTCCTCTGTGACCTACTGATGGTTCAGAAACATGTTGTTCAATTTCAATGAAGTTCTTGTGGTTTCTCTTGCTATTGATCTCCAATTTCATCACACTACGATCTGATAATATACAGGGACAACTTCAATTCCTTTGCATTTACTTAAACATGTTCTATGAGAAAGTAAGGGCCATTACAGACTCAAAACCCAGAGGCCAACTATACCTGGAAGACAAACCAAGAAGTACCCATTCCCTAATGGGGCTAGTGCAGTGATCAAGTGAGGACAAGGAAACAAAATGCTGTGAAAAGCTAGTACAAAGCTGAATCCTCAAGTGTTCATTAATTAGTCATTTAATATAATAATATGAATGGACGTGTGGAGGCCAGTACTGCCCTGAACCATGCTTCATGGAGGCCAGCTGCCCCTGGATCATGCTGTGTGGGATGCACAATATCTGAATCCACACTGCAGAGGCACTGGGGGGCCATAAATGGCATGGTTATGAGCTCCAGAAGATAGAGCAGAAGTGAACAACAGAGAGAGGGCCTATCTCAGGCTCCTCAATGAAAATTGAAGCCCACTGGGAAAGTGAAGAAAATTTCTGCAATAAAGGCACACTGGACCACCATGGTTGGTTAGTTGGTGGGATCAGCACCTCCCATAGGAACCCAGACTTACTTCGGGGGAAGGGCAGCTGGAACCTGTAGTAGAACCTTGCAGAGTTCAATCCTGCAGGTCAGGGACCTCAACTTGTGCCTTGCAGCCAGAAATCAGCCTGAATCTCAGTGGATTACAGCTGGCTTGCTGAGACTAATCAACTTGGATCTGCACACTGTTCCCCACATTGTCTACCATGGCAGCAGAG